GAGAGGGAGGATATTCCGTCTGCAAGAGTTCTCAACCGCCACCATGACTTGTCGCCGTTGGCCACCCTCAGGCCATGGCATCGCTTCCCATGCCACCATCCGTGACCTCTCCAGGAGTTTGTCGGCTCGAAACCTCTATGTGAGGCTGCACTACCGCCACTACCTCTCTTCTCCAGACCCGCATTGTGCATCCTTCGGGCAGAGACACATCTTCTGGCCTCCAATACGCCATCGCTCGGCCACCCCTAACTCAACATCGATAACCAAGCTCGACCACGAGCTCATCCATAGCTGCAGTGCCCTTGACATCATTGTATAACGAGCATAGCGGTGGCGAGCTCTCGAGCAACACCTGGGATAGCCAGCATGGGTCTCACTCTCCCGTCGTCAGCACGTGTCGTGTTTCCTGTCTACCTTTCACCCTGATGACGTGCCCAACTTGTCTCAGCTTTAGTTTGTCAATTACAGATAGACCATGCAGTAATTTTCCTTATTTTTCCTTATATTTTTCAGTTTTATGCATCAATTTCTATTCGGTAGGTCAAATTGATAGATGAGCATGCTTGTTCAAGAGTTCTTCGAGGACTCATAGTCGAAGCAATAGAAAGAGGAAGATGATGATGGTTTTCAAATGGCCATGGTGATGATAATGGAGGAACTAAAATGCCAGAGCACGTTCTCAGCTGGGGCATAGATACATTTGTCGCAATAGGATAGATGGCCATGCCAAGAAACGGAGGGATTATTTTGTCGACAATGCGGTGTATCCCGATAACCTACTCATGCAATGTTTCATAGTTCACGGGAGCTCTTTATGTTGAATTTGTGTCGGATATTGTGTACAAGTAGGGTTACATTTAGAGTTGGTGTTGTACTAGTGTTGGACAAATGTAGCATGGTATTGCATGCAAAATTGTGGTGTAATCATCAAAGAAGGGAGATGAAATAATCTCGCAGAGAAAAATGCTAATAGTCAAATACATCATCAATCTACCACAAACACAAGTTGTACACCGTAACCCTAGTTATTAAGAACTATATATACTACAATGCTGAAAAATGAATGACGATACAAAATCATGCATTAGAAGCATGCAATTGAGGCAGTTTTGTCCCCGCGTAGTAAAACCACATGTAATATCCCAATGGAGGCGGTTATTATTGTTATCGAAAATACTGGAGGCGGTTAAAAATATGAAACCGCCTTTAGTAGAAGGTTTAAGTGGTTACTTTTCTAAACGACTTCTAGGTTGTCCACGTTGCAGGCGGTTAAAAACCCCTAGCACTGCCACCACCATGTTCACCTCCCCAAGCGTGTAGGATCCTGAGTGCGACTTCATGGTGGACTGTCATCGGAGACTAAACTTGCCATCAAAAAAATCTGAGGACAGAATTGCTTCCTGCTACATTTGTATCTCTTATTAGGGTCCTAAAAAATTCTCATAAAACTGGTTTTATGGTATGACCATAAAATCTAGGAGAAGTAGTCTGAGAGCTACTTTTGTCAGTTCCCCTAAACTTCTTACTCTAAGTCTATTTTTATTTTATTTTAAATTAAACCAAAATAGATAATGCCCTAGGACCCGCCAGTCAGTGAGACATGTGACAGTCGTCAGCGAGTGGTGACTCGAGGCGGCAGGCGACGGTGCCGACACGGGACGGCTGCCTACAAGGGACGGTGCGGGCAGCGGCGTTCCGACGAGGTTTCAACAGGGCGGGTTGTGAAGTTTCAGGCCATTACTACCCCGTGGAAACTTTACGGGAAGTTGGTGGAAGAAAGGGCCAATTTTACTGGGTCCTTGAAGTTATGGCCATTTTACAGGAACTATTAATTTTTTGCTCAAACTTCCCGTAAACGACGGTTAGTTTAGAGGGAAGTTGTCGGAGATGCTCTTGCAGAACAAACTTCTAATTTTGCGGTGAGTGACATACTTTTCCATGTACTGTACATACATATAGATAGTTACTTTGATGGCAATTTTTAGTATATATTGATGGTACCTCCACATAATTTAGGATGACAACTTTTTATCAGGTTAGGTTTGCTTCATAACATGTCAATTTTTAGTTGAAAGAATATGGGAATCAAGATTATTTTTCCAGATTTTTTTTAAATTCATAATATATTACTAGATTCTGGCTGTAGGAGCTATAACGGGTCTGTCCCGTTTTGGCCTCGAGATCATCACTTCATCAGGCACGTTAGCTTGCTCGCTAGGATCACTAACATTTGCTCACTGCATCGCGCAGAGCTGTTTGTGCGTCGCGTGCTTGCTTTGGATCGCTGGATGATTGATGCCAGCTGCCGTTCACGGAAAAAAAACATTACTGGGCTGACGTTCGCTCTTATGAGTATTAAAAAACTAAACCTCACATGGAATTTGAATTACAAAATTATTCACAACTAGTTATCTTCACATAATTAGATTAGGGATGCAGGCAGACAACGTCCGCATCTATATATTGGTGCATGTTTTAATTATGCTGCCTATGCATGAATGCGGCCCCCTTGCATGGTTAAATTAGATGCTACTAGCAAAAGGACCGTGCGTTGCAACGGGTAACAAAATTGTGGCCATCAAATAAAGCCATCGAGAACATAATATCTATCATGATTATAGATGTGTACAAAAGAACCCGTGGAGACTCGGCGTCCGATGTGTGGAGATGAACTCGCGCAGGAGGAGGACTATGTCTGGCGTCATGATGACATCAATGGCAGAGAAGTCTGGCAAGGTCTGTGCGTTAGTGTCGCTCTGAAGATTGCAGCGGAAGATGGTGGCGACGACACATGAGAGTGCGGCGGACCGGTTTGCGCTCCAAACCCGGTATGTGGCTGGGTTGGGGCCTTCGACTTTAGATGTTAGGCTTTGATGCAATGTCCGTTTGGTATTAGACTCGGATTATCGGCACACCTTCATCAAGTGGATAGGAGTAGCGACATAGGTTGCTAAGATGGTGGCTTCAGACTACCAGATGTACTACTTTATAAGGTTTTCGTAAATAATTTATGCATGCATCGTCCAGATGCAGAGGCCCAGGGTAATCCTCTTTTAAAAAAAGATATGTACAAAAGGGCCCGTGCCTTGTTAATTCAAACCAAATAAAACTGATTGCCGGTAGCGCTTAAGAATTAGACATGTTAGTTAATTGATACTCTCTCCGTTCCAAATTACTCGATATGGTCACGACGAGTAATTTGAAACGGAGGGAGTATGTTAAATTGATGTACCACATGACACAAGCTTAGAGACCATAATTTATTTTGAAAAAAATAGTTTGAATATAGCAATTGGAACATCAATATTCATCATATAAATACAATATATGACTATGATTTTGTTTGGAATTTTCATTTTAGACATAACAGTACATGAACCATTAAATAAGAAATTGTTTTTCCTGAAATTAATATAAGGCATGTGAATGTTTCGACATAACACATAAACCATTTTAATTTAAATAACAAAATAAACAATTAGTAATATAGGTGGGCTGCTTAGCCATGTAATCTACTATCTGCCTAGAAATGTCGTGCAAATACCTTTTCCACATATCCTGAAATAAAGAATCATCAATAAACTTCAGTATCTTAGATGGAGAATTATGGAGGTTTATTCTACAGCAGAGTACCACCTGAAGTTGAGTAGTGGCTTTAGAGTCATAAATCTATATAACTGGTAGGCTCAATAGTTGGTTAGAAACTCTCTTTTAATTAGAGAAAAGGAATGTAAACTTCTTAAGTTAACATGTGCTATCAGTTAGCATCATGGCCATCTCTGCCTGTGTCCCTCGAACATGCTATGATATAAAGGCTGACAAACACACCAAAGTACACCAAAGTAAATAAATAAACTTTGATGAACACAAAATAAATAATGAGAGCAGAAGTGTTAGGCGCAATCAATCAAAAGCATAAGGGCTGACAAACACACCAAAGGACCAATCTTTAACAAGCAAAATCCAATCTCTCCGTCACATTCTTAGGGGGTTATGTCTATCGGCTCAGACCGGGTCTCACCGATGGCGACATGGCCCTCCCTAGGGAGAAGCACTCATCCACGTCGTTCAGGCCATCCAAGGCTATTGTGGTCAGAGCTGCACCTACGCACCTAGGAACTGACATTGCCTCCTTTGCATTATATACACCTTTTAGTTTCCACATCTGCTGCAGAAAAAACATGAGACCTTTTAGAGTACATCAAGTCTATTTGGATCGTCCATTTATGTGGTTGAAGGGCCCAGATGAGCCAATACTACAGTAGATTTTCGGTAGTATATTAGTTAGTTAGGGGCATTATAGGCAGTTCATTGTTTATTTATCTGTTTATAT